ATATCACAAGATAATTTCAGCATTTTGGCTGGTATTCCATCAGCCTCGGTAGCCTTGGATACTTTTAGATTTTTCAGGTTTTTTAGAATATTGGTTTCAGTAATTGTATGGAAATAGAATTTTGAATTTACACCAGTTGAATTACAATGCAAGTCTTCATAATCCGAAAGACGTTCACATTCAGCAGCGAGTATTGGGCCAACATTAACAAAATAGTCGTTTAAGTCGGTTCAGCCAATTGTTTGCGACAATATTAATTTCTGCAATATTAGATGATTTCCCACCTTTGCCCAATATAGGGTGTTTATCAGTGACCATGTTTTTTTCATGTCTTTAGCTAGGGAAAATTCCGCCTTAATTCTTGTTTGATAATATAAACAATTTTGGCCCTTTTCATTTCCGAGTTAACTTTATTTCTCTCCGATTTATATTTATCCCAGTGAACCTGGGAATTATATCTCTTTGCTCTCTTTTTATGATAGTCTCTGGATCTTATTAGTTTTTTAATGTTGGAATTTATCCAGGGAACAGAATTGTGCTTAATGCTTTTATAAATTAAGGGTGCATGTCTGTCAAGAGCTTCCAAATAAAAAGATTTCCAGACATGCCAATTGTCGTTCGGGTTCATATACTGTGTAGCTAAATACCAAGGTATTCTGGACAGTTCCTCAATAAAATCAGTTTCATTAAATATAATCCAGAAGCACCAGTAGATATAATCCAGAAGCACCACATCAACAATTTCATAAGAATAAGTACAACAGCCGGTGTATACGTAAAGGCCAGAACTTTAAGCGACCAGTTATCCATCGCAATAATCCAATTACGCCCCATTTTCGATGGTGCCAGACCAATTACCATCCCCCACTACGATCCGAGAGACTAACACAAAGTTCAGAATGGGAAACGTATTTAGACTTTGTCCATCAAATGACAACGCCCTATATGCATGGTCGACAAAAACTGACACAGTTTTTCTAACCGAAAGTTCTCCGACCATCTACCCGATCAAGGTGGTATCTGGTCGAATCCGTGAACAGATTACTGGTGCTAAACTGAGAAGTAATCCGCATAACCTGATCAACGTTACATTAGAAAACCCATTACAAGCAGCGCCGCTACCTAATTTAGTAGATACTCAAGTCAGCAATAATTCCATGACAATGTCTAGCTCAGATATAGAAATCTTACCATCTCAAGGCCTGGTGTCTACCCTTCCCAAATTTTTTCTTTCCAATGTACGATCCATATCCAATAAAGTAGATGATTTTGATGTAGTCGTCCAAAGAACTGGCATAGATTTTGCGGGAATTACAGAGACATGGTTGAATCCTAGCATCCCGGATAGCTGTATAAATATCCATGATTTTAACCTGGTTAGAAAAGACCGCTCTGGTCAACGCGGGGGTGGAGTTTGTACATTCGTAAAATCAAATATATATCAGATTAGTACATTTAAGTATATGATATATAGTATATATTAACAATTTTTAAATTGCATTGTAATATAGAATTTTTTACTATTTATAACCTTGTAACACTTAACGTCATGTAATTCAGTCTTCTGACTGCCAGATGATGTTTTTATTAAACAAACTATTCAATTCAATTCAAATTCAATTCAAATATCCCATTCGTGCCTCTTCCTGACTTATGTTGTCCAGATCACGAGAGTCTGTGGTTAAAACTTCGACCCTATCGACTTCCACGAGAATATTCCTGCATAGTTGTTGGTCTTGTATACCATCCACCACAGGCCGATAATAACGAACTGTATGACCACCTCATAACCTCGTTGGACAAAATTTTAGCATCTTACCCAACAGCAGGTGTAATTGTTATGGGTGATTTTAACCAGTTCGACTCCAAACGCCTTTGCAGAAACACGTCACTTAAACAAATTGTAAAGAAACCTACCCGTGGGAATGCAACTTTAGATTTAATATTTACTAATATGAAACGTTGTTACAATGACCCTGAAATACTCCCTGCTATTGGACAATCGGATCACATGTCAGTCCTGTTACACCCCGTTAGTAACAATCACCGCCCTAATACCATTACCAAAGTCTGGGTCAGAAAGCGGAAGCAATCAAATATGCATGCAGGCATTTGGTCGATTTCTTTTGGATCTTAACTGGAATGTACTTTCGCAGCTACCCGATTGTCAAAAAATGTGTGACCTGTTTTATGACATTATTCTCATGGGTTTGGATACAATTTTTCCCCAAAAATCTGTTAAACTTCACTGTAGAGACAAAGCGTGGATTACCCCTGAAATCAAACTCCTCATCTCCCAACGACAAAAGGCCTTTGCCTTGGGAAATACAATTGAATACAACAAATTGCGAAATAAAGTAATTCACGTCGTGAAACAGGCAAAGTCTAAATACTTCGAGTCTCAAGTGAATCATCTAAAAAATTCAAAGCCAAGGAAATGGTGGAATGCTATTAAAAACCTAGCTGGCTTTTCTTTAAAGCCTGCCTTCCATTCTGCAGAGGTGAATGGAACTATCTTGCAGGGACGAGACTTAGCACTCGCTGTTAATAACGGGTTTTTAGCCGCCACTAAATCGTTACCGCCGCTTTCAATTACTGATAAATTATCTGTGGAAGAACCTACCGTTTTGTACCCTATCTCCGTTGTTGATGTCGAATCGCGTTTAAAAGCAGTTAAATCGAATAAAGCTCCTGGTCCAGACTCTCTGCCAAATTGGATTCTCAATAACTTTTCAATGGAGATTTCAGAACCTGTGACAATGATTTTTAATGCCTCCATTAAACAAGCACAAGTTCCAATGCAGTGGAAAGAAGCAAATGTCGTTCCCGTCCCTAAGACATCCTCGGTCACGGATATATCTTCAGACCTGCGACCTATATCTCTGACCGCCACGCTCTCAAAGGTTCTTGAATCATTTCCATTTCAATGGATTATGGATACCATTAAGTCTCAGTTGGACCCAAAGCAATTCGGATCGTTAAAAGGCTCTTCTACGATAGACGCATTAATTAGCATGTTCCACTGTTGGTATTCTAACACAGACGGCAATGGCGAGACTGTTCGTGTTTTTCTGCTTGACTTTAGTAAAGCATTCGACAGAATCAACCACAAAATCCTGATAAAAAAGATGCAATTACTAAATATTGATAAATCCTTAATAAACTGGGTTATTGATTTCCTGATGCAAAGAAGACAGAGGGTGAAATTGGGTTCTTCGTTCTCTGATTGGTCCTTGGTAAATGGAGGCGTCCCGCAAGGTACAATCCTTGGCCCATTACTTTTCCTCATCATGGTCAACGATTTGGCTATTAACCACAAAGATAGATGGAAATATGTTGATGACACTAGTCTCTCCGAAACAATCGGTAAAGGTTGTCAAAGTAACCTGCAATCCGTTATTAATAATATCGATCAATGGTGCACGGAAAATGATATGATGCTTAATCGTTCTAAATGCAAAGAGCTAATTATCTCGTTCGCTAAGGACGTCCCTAATCTTCGACCATTGTTTATTAAAGATCACTGTATGTCCCCAGTTTTATCAGCAAAGGTTCTTGGTCTGTACTTTTCTTCTGATCTTAGTTGGAACTTACATGTTGAACACATAGTATACAAGGCATCAAAGAGACTTTTTTTTCTCCGAGTGCTTAAACGCAGCGGTCTTGGAGGGAGTTCTCTAATTCAAGTCTATACCACATGTATACGACCTGTGCTTGAATATGCATGCCAGGTTTGGAACTTAAACTCCCCTGACTATTTAAAGGAAGAAATCGAAAGAATTCAGAAGCGAGCCCTACGAATAATATGTCCTGACCTGTCATACCGCAAAGCCTTGGAAGTTCATGAATTATCGTTGCTCTCTCAAAGACGAAATAATTTATGTAAATCCTATTTTAAGAAACTTCTCAACCCGGAAAATAAATTGAATGAACTTATCCCTAATAAACGCGAGGACTTACGTACTTACAATCTACGTAACGATCAGCATATTAACTTAATTAATTGTAAGACTACAAGATTTAGTAAAAGTTTTATTCCTTCTAGTATCGTATCATATAATGATTCATTTTAATTGTAATATAAATTTTAGTTTTAATATACCGTATATTACTATATGTATTAGTTTTACCATGTATTTTAAATGTCAACTCTGTACAATTCAGCTCTTAGCTGCCATTCAGATTTTGTAATAAATTCAATTCAATTCAATTCAAAAATTCATTCAAATTCAAATTCAATTCAAAATTCAATTCAAATTCAAATCTTTTGAAATTTCTAACTTTGGAACGGGTTTGCCTATATTTAGGCATGGTCACTTTTTTCACTGCAAAAATTAAACTGTGATCTTCCCAAGTCAATAACACCACTATTGGAAATGTTATTGGGTTGATTGGTGAACAATAGATCAATTAAAGATGATGATGTGCTTGTGACTCTAGTTGGCTCCTTGATCAATTGCTCTAAGTTATATAATGTGCTCAGAAATATTAACTTTTTGGTACTGGAGTCTTTTGGTGTCTTAATCATATTACAATTTATGTCACCAATAACAATCAACTCCTTACTTTCAGCATCACATTTACTAAGAAATATTTCAAAGAAATCAAATAATTTCATCTCAGAGTTGGGCGGTCTGTACCATGCACTAATGAGAAATGGCCTACTTCGTGGTTTACAAATCTCAATACAAATCATTTCAAGATCATCTGAATTTAAATCCTTCCGCTCATAGCAGGAATATATCTCTCGAATATAAACAACCACTCCACCCCCAAATCTATTGCGATCTTTTCGAATCATATTATATCCTGGGATATTTATTTCACTATCTTTTACTGAATTATCAATTTTAGATTCGTTTATAGCAAAAACGTTAATTTCAGAATCGGATAACATCAGTCGAAGTTCATCAACATGTCTTAAGAGACTATTAATATTTAAGCTTGCTATTTTCAGCCCCCTTAGTTTTTAATTTTATGCAAATAAGAGTCTTTTTTACCTTCAGAGTCAGGCATCGTATTGTTTATCGATGAGTTCGCTTCTTTGACGTCTGGGGCATGATCAACCTTAACAGCTCTCCCAGTTGTCGAAGTTCCTTCGGAAAACCCCCATCACTTGATCGTGAGCTAGTTCCTCTAATAAATTTAATGAAGTGAACAGCCAGTAGCGCCGAACCTTTCGCATTAAGATGTAGCTTGGACCCATTCAGGCAAGTCGCATCTATGTTCCCATTTTCAATATAGGTATAGCCCTCTTTTGAGCATAGATCCTTTAATAACTCATTCGTTTTTTGTGTCTTTAATGTTACATCAATATCCTCTCTCGTTATAAGGCTGGATATCGCGATTCTAGCTTCCTTAAACGTGCTCTTTATTCTGGAACTTAGAAGCTGAATATTATCGAAGCATTCTTTGCTAGAGTCGGTGATTATGTTGTTAGTACCAGCGTGTATAATTACTTCTGTGGGAGGAGAGTGGACATGGGCCGATTGAAACTCGTTTGCAGTTTCCTCTGCTCTCTTACCTGGATATGTTAACTTACGAACTGAGCTTTTTGAAAGTTTGTGTGGATTTATATCTTTAATCATTGAATCACCAATTAGCAAGATGTTAGGTTTAAATTTGCCATCTTTAAATTTTCCACCTACATCAATAGGGTTTTTTTCATCCTTAGATATTGTAGTTGTGTTTCGTACCGGGTCTTTATGTTGTCTAGCCTCTGATTGATCCAGATCTGATGCAGATTTGTTTACTTCTTCTTCGTGGTCACTAACGCTGAGAACTTCGAACTGGTTCTTTGACTCATATGATATAGTTGTATTTGGTGTTATGGATACATTTTCGCTACGTTTTTTAACTTTTGCGAATTCTCGCTTTTCTCTGTTGCTCTTATCAAGGTCTTCTTGTAGCGTTCTTGCGGCAGCTCTTAGATTCTTGTTCTCAGATTCCAGGTCTTCAATTTTGTTTTTTTCTGCTAGTGATACTGATTCTCGCTGCATTAGCTTCAGGGCAGTTATGAGACTCGATTTTTCGTCCTGAAGTTCTATAACCTTAGCTCGTACTTCAGACAGAGATTGAAATAAGTTCTTGTTTTTCTCCTTTAAGTCCTCATTCTCTCTCTGTTAAGTTCATACTTTTCCTTCTTAAGGTCATTAACAGTTTCTTCAAGTATCAGTATACCGTAAGCAGCATTTTCTTTATTCTCCTTTATCGTTGAAATTTCTTCCGCTAGAGCATCTAGCTTTCCAGTTTATTTCATAAAATTCTGGGGATTTATTGTAGTTTGCGTCGTTTGTGTTGGTTGAGTAACTTTGACCATTGATTAGCATTTCTATAGCATACTACGATTACGATTAGCATTTCTATAGCATACTACGATTGCGATTACTACGATTTCCCAACACTATCATCCATACTACGATTATGATTAGCATTTCTATAGCATACTACGATTACGATTAGCATTTCTATAGCATTCTACGATTGCGATTACTACGATTTCCCAACACTATCATCCATACTACGATTATGATTAGCATTTCTATAGCATACTACGATTGCGATTAGCATTTCTATAGCATACTACGATTACTACGATTTCCCAACACTATCGTCCATACTACGATTATGATTAGCATTTCTATGGCATACTACGATTACGATTACTACGATTTCCCAACACTATCATCAGTTGAAAGAGCTGCCGCCACGAGCTATTTTCAATTATAGAACTGTCAAAATAATGTCGAAACAACAAAACACAAGACAAATTGCTATCTATTAACCCCCCCCCCCCAGTCAAACGTGGATGAGAGTTGACGAGTGTTGCAACTCTTGCTCGCGTTTGACTGCCAACTCCCATGACTCCCATGCACTCTAACTCATAAACTCTGGGCTGGTTCAAATTCTGATATGAGTTGATCCTGTTGATGAGAATTTGCGCTACGCGGGTGGTAATATCTACTGAGTAGGCAACTCTTCATCAACTCTCATGCAACTCTTGTTCTCGTTTGTCTGGGGCATTAGAGTACAAGCAGACAACTAAAGCTAAACTAACGTGCTCTTTACCTTCGTTGGTCATATAGTGTGGTGACTGGTTCAAATTACTTGCTGTTGCAATACTAGACATCAAGGGACGCCTCAAATGATTTACAACTGCTCTCATGGTTGGAAAATAGCCAACAGCTCTGGATTGCTTCAAAATCTAAACAATTAACAATTATATCTATCATTTCCAATATGTACAGTGGCCCCCAAAGCAACAAATGCCCTTAAAATTTCTTAGTTGATACAAGATTGCTTATCTGAGAATATAATGAATGTTGTGGTTTCCCACGTTTACGATTCCACTCGTGTAACGTTAACGGGTTCGAATCCCAGCCGCGGTCAAGTAGAATTTTCTGCTTGCCCGGTTTGGTATATACACTCGTCTGAAAACAACTCAAAAACCGCTACATATATATATATATATATATATATATATATATATATATATATATATATATATATATATATATATATATATATATATATATATATATATATATATATATCTTATATAGATATATAAACCATATCTTATATAGATATGGTTTATACAATTTCTATGTATATATATGGAAACTGTTTGTCAATGAGTACAATAGAGAGGTGTCCATATTATGTAATCTGTTTCTATCCTAGAATACATATAGATATTAAGTACTAGAGAAATTAATTTTGATGCGGAGCTCTTTTAGTTTTCAAAATAATGCTGCTTTTCTAGAAAAACTGATTTTCTAATGAACCAATATTTAACCAAATGGCAAATATAGAACAACACGTTTGCATCGAATTGTTGCAGAAAATCAAGCGTTTGCATTGAAAGGATGTTGTTTGAAATCTGATGTCTTGAAGGTCTTTTATAAAAACAGTTCACATAATGCAACCTTCTTATAACTGTAATTGGCACGTTTTATAATATTAAATTGAAGTATTGATCATGAGTACAGCGAGGTAGTACACACTCCATATGACACAATACTGCCCGCACTTCTCCAAAGCCCACTCATATGCTCCAGCAGTCTCTTGTGCAATCTATATATATTCTTGTGAATCTCAGCTTGTGCAAGTTTGTTTGTCTATCCGCAGTTTTAAAGTCTAGCTCTACCTTTTGTCCAACCAACCCTTTTCGTATGACTGGACATGTCCAATCCCAAAAAGTTGATGTTTAACAATCAACATATTCTTATTCACGAAACCAAAGCTGAATATAAACAACACTTTAAAAATAAAAACCCCACCTGCAAGGACGATCCCCAACTATTTTATGTGGCCTTAAACCTCGGTCAAACGAGGATGAGAGTTTAATAACAATAGTTGATGAGAGTTGCAACTCTGGCTCGCGTTTGACCAGCAATTCTCATAATCATCGACTCTCATCAACTTTGAACTGGTTCAAATCCAGTCAACTCTCATACAAATCTTGTTCTCATTTGACCGGGCATCAGAGTTGAGTATCCAGTCAACTCTCATGTAAACTCTCGCTTCTCATCTCTCATTAACCCTCATTATTGCTTGACCAGGGTTTTAATCTGTGGGATTTTTAGTGACTTTATTGGAAATGTTAGGATTTTAGATTTTGGGAATTTCTAATTTGGCAGAATTTGGAGATTTTTCAAAAGATTTTTTTAGTTATGGGAAATTAGAGTAATACACCCCCTGCCTTCATGGTGTTATTGGTATTTAAAACAATAGAAATATCCCAAATTGGGATATTATGTGCACCAATCTTTTCCTGATCTATATTTGTCAAAGTAACCACTGATGTGGTAACCAGTAACTCCTATAGCATTGTACAGCAGCTGATGAAGTAATGGCCGCTATCAAGAAGCTTGCAGTACGTGCTGAAAACAATGGTTGCACGAGTAGAACTGCATAACATGCAACAAGACCGGGATGAGCCAGTTCGACATTTTGAGGCAAGGTTGTGTGGCCAAGCCAACATTTACAAGTTTGCTATTACTTGCCCTACTTGTACCGTTGATCTCAACTGCACCGAGCAGATCCTACGCGACATTGCGACCCGCGACCTTGCATGCAGACCATGAAATCCAGCTGGATCTCCTAGGCGACAAAAACCAAGACATGTCTCTAGAAGAAGTCATCCAATTCATTGAGGCAAAAGAAGCCAGAAAACGGTCAGCCGGTCGTCTACAGGAAGCACAATCAATGAATGCCACCCGCAGTCAGTATTATCAAGCCAAATGAGATGGACTTAAGTCCCAACATCTCACCACCAAAGAGACATGCTACTATTGTGGACAAAATGGTCATGGCAAACGTGCTTCAAAATTCATCCGAAAGAATGCCTGCCCTGCTTACGGCAAAACATATGGGCATTGTGGTCGACCAAACCATATAGAAACTGTTTGTATGCAGAAAACCAAACCCAAACCACCATTGCCTCAGAAAGCAAGCAAATAATGATCAGGAAGGCGCCATCTTCGATGGCATATCGATAGACCACCACCTTTACAACCAATTGAATGACTGCTGGGTCCGCCAATCATCAAAACCACAACCATCCAAAGTGTACTCACACAACCATCCAAAGTGTACTCACATCACCATGCAACAGCCCACTGCGCCAGAAACCACCGCCTCGACCTACACAACCACCCTTCCCTGCCAACATTGCTAATCGAGCACACCTCCAAAAGTGGCTCCTCGACTACTACGCCACCAGTACCTTCAATACATGTGAACATCAGCTCCTCCCACTTATACACGGCCCACCAATGCGGCTTATGGTCAACCCAGATGCCACCCAGTAGCACACCATACCCAGTCCTTGAGACAGTACCAATTGGCGAACCCATCACCTGGTGTCATCGAATGGTTGTCTGCACTAAAACGAATGGCCAGCCTCGCAGGACAGTTGACCTCCAAGCCGCCTTAAACCTACATGCTGCCAGCGAAACCCATCACACGCAAAGCCCGTTCCACCAGGCTAGATCCGTGCCAACCAACAAGAAAAAAACCATCTTCGACTGTTGGAATGGCTACCATAGTGTTGCCATACACCTTGACAACCGCCATCTTACCACTTTTATAACCTCATGGGACCGATTTCGCTACGAGATTGCACCCAAGGGTACATTTTATCATTGCATCGATTGTCTCGGACATCCCAGACAAAACGAAATGTATTGATGATGCACTTCTCTGGGCTGAAAACATCGAAGGCAGTTTTTTCAAGCAGTAGACTGACTTGACACTTGCGGACACAATGGCATAATCCTGAACCCCGAAAAATTCGTATTTGGACAGGACACAGTCGAGTTTGCTGGCTTTGCAATCACCCCCAAACACGTCCGCCCATGCCAGAAATACCTTGCTGCCATTCTCAACCTCCCACGACCGACCAACGTCACTGACATGCGCTCTTGGTTTGGCCTAATAAATAAGGTCTCTTATGCATTTGCTGCCGCAGACCGAATGCTATCCTTGCACAAATCATCCAAACCTGGCTCACAATTCACATGGACGGAAGAGCTAAATCAACTCTTCGAAGAATCCAAGAAGGTGATTGTTAACGAAATTGAACACGGCGTGCAGATCTTCGATAAATCAAAGCCCACTTGCTCGCTACTGACTGGTCGAAAGATCGGATAGGCTTTTGGCTATTTCAGAAACACTGTGATTACCTGATGAGAGGCCTTTTGGCTGCAAAACTGGCTGGCAGGGTTTTTTCAGGGACTTTTTAGGATCGTAAAACGGCCCCAAAAACTCAATCTTGAATTGAGTAAACTCAATCTTCTCACCAAAAGATTTAGTGCAGTAAAAATGAAATTGTTTGAGTTAAATTCGTGACGTGTGGAAATGAGATTTCAGTTGGAAACCAGACAATCAAGAAAAAATGGCTGGAATTCATTTCACAACACAAGAAAAAACAACGCATTCGCCATCTTTACCCAGTTTATAGTGTCTGCTTTAACACATTGTGTCTCAACTACACTTATTGGGTACAGGTGTCAGCTTCCCGCAGCTGCCGCACACCCCAGCTGTTCAGCTAAACTCAATCTTCTCTGCAAAAACGGACCCAAGAGAAAATCCTGGAAAAAAAGCTAGCTGGAAAATTACCTGGTTGGAAGTCGTTTAACCCACACCGCGAAATCCCGCTATGCGCCCATCGAAGGCGAGCCCTTTCCAGTGGTCGACGCACTCGGCAAAGCTCCCTTCTTTGTACTGGGCTGTGTCAACCTTATCATAGCTGGGGATCACAAACCCCTCTAAAGTTTAAGGTATCGAGACATTTCCAACATCCGTCTTCGCAATCTCAAAGACGCTCCAATACCGCTTCCTCATGGTCCATGTCCCAGGCATCAAACACAAAACCGCCGACGCGCTCTCACATCATTCATCTGGCACAAACCGCAATCCTGAAGCCATGCCCATCCCCGATGACGTAGCCGCCGTACCCTTGAACCCGACACACCGCTCAATCACTGCCACCATCGAGAAGCAACTGCTATCATCTGCCATCAAATCAACTCACTCAATAGCCGTAACATGGGACCGCGTCAAAACAGCAACAGCGAGCGACACAACAATGGAGAAGCTCCTTTCTACCATTACAGTAGGCTTTCCCCGAGTTTCGCCATGAACTCCCCCCTGATTTACAGGAATTTTTCCAATTTCGTGAACACCTCTATGCCATCGATGGGGTTATCCTATGCAAAGCTCGCATTGTTATACCCTCATCCCTAAGAAGTCACATCTTATCCATCCTCCATTCGGCACACCAAGGCATCACCTCAATGACCTCTCGTGTCAAGGCAACCGTATTCTGGCCTGGCATACCACTAGCAATTCGAGCCATAAGAGAACCCTGTCAACACTGCAACCGAATGGCCCCATCTCAACAAAACCCCCCTCCCACACCCATACTCCACCAAGCTACCCATTTCAACTCTTATGCACTGATTACTCCCATTACCAAGGTGTCAATTACCTCGTGCTCATAGATCAGCACTCCAATTGGCCTATAATAGAGCGTTGCAAAGACGGGGTAACCGGATTAATCCACTGCTTACGACGTATCTTCGTCACATTTGGAATCCCATATGAGCTAGCAACCGACGGTGGACCTGAATTTACTGCCACATCAACACAAGATTTTCTCAAAACTGTCAAACCGTCCGTCGCATACCCTCACTCAAACTGCCAGGTTGGTGTCAAAACAGTTAAGCACCTAATAACCAAAACCCCTGGCCCAAACGGTACCCTTGCGAATTGCTATCCTCCAGTACCGAAATACACCCGATCCCACCACAAAACTCTCACCAGCAGAATGCATCTTTGGACGACTGATCAAAGATTTCATCCCTATTGCCCCCAGGCATTACCAATCCCACCCTACCTGGGAAGATACCCTTGTGACCCACGAACAGGCACTCTGCAACCGTCATATGCAAATGGTTGTCCGAGCACACACGTCAACTCCCATCACTGAAAGTTGGGGATCAAGTCCAAATACAGAACCAAATTGGCCCCCACCCAAAAAAATGGAATAAAACAGGTTTAGTAATAGAAGTCCGCCAATTTGACCAGTACGTAATACGTTTGGACGGATCAGGCCACATAACACTCCACAATTGGAAATTCCTATGCAAATTCACTCCAGTTCAACAGCGGCAACCATAGACGGATTTTCTGGGGGGGTGCAGGGGGGGGTGCAGGGGGGGGTGCTACCCCCCCCCCAATATTAGCTATACTCCCCAAACAAAAAGTCCACCCCTCATAGACGGATTTTCATATTTTTACTGGGGTGGTGCCAGAAATTTTAGGGGGGGGTGAGCCGTGAGCAGGTGACTGAAGCAACACAAAGTGTCACCAAACCCCAGTAAGGTCTATATTCTAGGGACGGAGCACTAGAGCCGCGAGGGGGGAGTCTAGAGAGCAGAAAACAAAGTATCCCAGGACAAATTTGAAAAAATCATGATTTGTAGCTTCGAAAAAAAGTTTTTTGAAGTTGTCATATCAATGGATTTGGCATGTCCGATTGTCTGTTGAGACTTGAGAGAGTTAAAGACTTAAAGTTAAATGAACCTGTAAAAGTGTAAAGTGTATACCCAATACACAATATGCTTTTACTTTTATAAAGTCATTGACATTGTGTTGTTTGAATCCGAGTACAATTTATGATGCAACTTGAACTACCATACTGTACTGTACATAATTGATATTTCAAAACTTTTACTTAAATTTAAAAAAACACTAAACTTTTACTTAAAAGCTTTTACTTAAAAACTTTTACTTAATTTTACTTAAAAACTTTTACAAGCACAATTGCACTGATGATTGTCTGATTAGACTCATTACGAGTCATTCATTGGTATAAAATAAGTAATTGGACAAGTACTGGTGTAAGACATTGTGTAACCTAAATAATGAGGACCAGTAGTCCAAATTTGGTAAACCTTTTATATTTATTTACTCGGACTCCTATGATGAAAATGTACGCAAAAAAAACAAGGGAAACTACGATTAATTAGATAGAAACTAAAATACGTGGGAATTTTTATGGGACACAATAAAAGGCTAGGATATAAGAGCGAGAGATTGAACAGGGTTGCCTTTCCTACTCAAATCTTTCCTACTCAAATTCAATCTCTCGCTGTTATATCCTTGCCTTTTCTCGCTTTTTTTTAGTTTCTGTCTAATCGTAGTTTCCCTAGACATGTTCACCATAGGAGTTGGAGTAAAGAAATAAAGGATAAGCATTTTTGGACTACTGGTCCTCTCGTTATTTAGGCCACACAATGTCTTACACCAGTACTTGTCCAATTACCTATTTTATACTAAATAAAACTTTTTTTGGAGGGGTGGCATAGACGGACCGATTTTCTGGGGGGTGCTACCTCCCCCCCCCAATATTAGCTATAATCCCCCCCAAACAAAAAGTCCACCCCTCCAAAAAAAGTTTCAACCCTCCCCCCCCCCCAATATTCGGCATAATAAATAAATACTTAAATAGTCCACTTTTATTTAGTATAAAATAGGTAATTGGACAAGTACTGGTGTAAGACATTGTGTGGCCTAAATAATGAGAGGACGAGTAGTCCAAAAATGCTTATCCTTTATTTCTTTACTCCAACTCCTATGGTGAACATGTCTAGGGAAACTATGATTAGATAGAAACTAAAAAAACGAGAAAAGGCGAGGATATAACAGCGAGAGATTGAATTTGAGTAGGAAAAATTTGAGTAGGAAAGGCAACCCTGTTCAAATTCAATCTCTCGCTCTTATATCCTAGCCTTTTATCGTGTCCCATAAAAATTCCCACGTATTTTAGTTTCTATCTAATTAATCGTAGTTTCCCTTGTTTTTTTGCGTACATGTTCATCATAGGAGTCCGAGTAAATAAATATAAAAGGTTAACCAAATTTGGACTACTGGTCCTCATTATTTAGGTTACACAATGTCTTACACCAGTACTTGTCCAATTACTTATTTATACCAATGAATGACTCGTAATGAGTCTAATCAGACAATCATCAGTGCAATTGTGCTTGTAAAAGTTTTTAAGTAAAATTAAGTACAAGTTTTTAAGTAAAAGCTTTTAAGTAAAAGTTTAGTGTTTTTTTCAATTTAAGTAACAGTTTTGAAATATCAATTATGTACAGTACAGTATGGTAGTTCAAGTTGCATCATAAATTGTACTCGGATTCAAACAACACAATGTCAATGACTTTATAAAAGTAAAAGCATATTGTGTATTGGGTATACACTTTACACTTTTACAGGTTCATTTAACTTTAAGTCTTTAACTCTCTCAAGTCTCAACAGACAATCGGACATGCCAAATCCATTGATATGACAACTTCAAAAAACTTTTTTTCAAAGCTACAAATCATGATTTTTTCAAATTTGTCCTGGGATACTTTGTTTTCTGCTCTCTAGACTCCCCCCTCGCGGCTCTAGTGCTCCGCCCCTAGATTATAGACCTTACTGGGGTTTGGTGATACTTTGTGTTGCTTCAGTCACCTGCTCACGGCTCACCCCCCTAAAATTTCTGGCACCACCCCAGTAAAAAATATGAAAATCCGTCTATGGCGGCAACCCCAACATACTATCGCTAAGGATTTACGGTATCTGCCAACCCCACAGACCAAAGCTCCTGAACCAATAGTGCACACTCCACCAGCAGAGCCGCCAAATATCCCACCACATCCCTGGTCCCTCATACACCCCAGTCCCTATCAATACCATCTACATCAAACCACATCACGCTGGAGCAAACCTCTACCCCCACTAGTCAAGCATCTGAAAAGCCTAGCAAACCCAAGAAGCTACCCCTAGCTCCACAACATCATAGGCGTACCGGGCGGGGGGGGGTGGGGGTGGTAGCCCCCCAGTTTTTTGGGCAGTCGGGCAATATTCGATTAACAGTCGGGCAATTTTGGTTTGTTATAAAAATAAATCGGACAAATTCTGTCAATTGTTTCGAAAATTTAGTCAATTTTGTGGCAAATTTAGTGTTTTTTTGGAAAATTTATGTGATGCTCCGAAAAATTTTGGTATGTCCGGAAAATTTTTTTAACCCCTTAAATGGTACACTGACCGAAATTTTTTGGGCGACGGGGGGGGGGATGGGAAGGTCGCCAAAATAAATTTTTCGGGAAAAATTTAAAATTTTTTGGTACTAGTCGGACACAATCACGAAAAGTCGGGCAATTTTACGAAAAAAATTGCTCTTTTCTTTCCGCCCCCCTAATTTTTTCCTTCCGGTACGCCCATGCACAACATTTACAGGATTGGGTCGTTCCAGAAAAGATCCATATTCCCCCCACAGAGGAAATTTCTGCCGTCCGGAGGGGGAGGGGAGAAAAAATTGTTTCTGATAATAGTAAATGTATTAGGACATCCAAAGGGGGTAGGGGGGTTACAACAAAAATGGACTCCAGGAATAGTGAACTAAACCTGTTATCATATAAATGTGCAGTTCATGTTGAATTAGTTAAAGTATTTAATGCATTGCTCCCTCTCAATCAATAAATACTTGGGGGGGGGGGAGGTAGAGAATAGTTTATTATTATTATGGTTAATTAGGAGACACTTCATTGAAATAACATAAAGTACATCGCTGGGCTTCTCCATCATTCATGGAGGTTTATAATTATGAACATTTATGGAGCAAATTAATGTTATTATGTTTGTTAATTTAACTCAAAGAAATAGATGTACTCTTATCTAGTTTTGACAAAGAATATAGACCCATACATTAAGCGTTAGCACTCTCCCCTTGACAAGCAAAATCGTCCATATTCAATTATTCATGTATTGTTACCACAAATAATGTCGAATCGACATTATTATTTCATCCACACACCCACCCCAGATAACGTTGATCAATTTTCAGTCGTATTTTGACTGCTAAAGTCACAATTATTGCACTTTACTACCGTCATTAGCTGGGATTGTATTTTGATACAATATTTAAACAATATACGGTATTCGGATACTGGGATGATTACTTTGGAAATTAATTGTCAAATTGCCATGAGATAACGTCAACAAGTTCACATAAAAACCCACCCACAGACCCACTCAATCATAATGTCGATTCAACGTTATTTGTGGCAACATGCCAGACTGCAGAGTAGGGCAATTGCGCCCCCAATATCTGTTACGTCACAAATTTTAGCGCCCCCGAAATATATTATGCAACAATTTCCATGCATTATCCGCCCATCGATATGGGTAACATTCTTGAACTGGGAATCTTAAAAAAGCGTGTATATTTTCCTGCGTATATTATTGATATTAACACATGCAGTTCTTCAATATAGTCTTCAATGCCAAAGGTTGCCTATTAAAAGGCAGAAGTTAACAGAACTTGATGGTGTAATGGTATATTGGTGTTCATAATATAACTTATCTAGTTATTTACAACTATTTATGTGTGACGGCAGTGAGTCTCACCGTGAATACAGGTTCGTTACAAAAATTCTAAAATGTCAGAAATTGTCGGGGGCTTATTATTTATTTCCCGCGTGTCTGCACATAAATTAAGAAGCGTGTCTTCTGCAATCTAGTAAGTGCCAGCTGTGTATTTTATGCTGATTTTGATTACTTGATGTTACTGGATGTTGATGTGATTTTACCATGCCGCAGTCGCACCCGAGTTGACTTGCAAAGAAAACAAAAAAGATGCAAGACAAATTAAGCCATTTTCTTCTTGTTTCAGCAATGACTGCCCTTTGGGAAGCTAGCCGCCCAAAGGTCGCCCCTGAGTCCGCCCTTGGGACATCTTTGCGCCCCTGCCCCGAGATTTTTCAGCTTTCCGCTCCCGAGATCTCGGCGAAAACGGACGTACTCTGCAGTCTGGGCAACATGAATATGGACGTGGCCCCTAAGCGGCTAAGCCAAAAGGCTATTTGTAAATACCTAAAAAGAAATTAAGTAAATACCTTATAATTTTTTAATCAAAAACGGCGAATTTAAACGAAAATCCCAAAACGCACACATATCATACGTGCAGTCTTGCATGTGTCAACATTAGTGAGCTTAAGCAAGTGACGTTTTTGACAACACGGACGGCATGAGTAACGTCAGAAGACTGGGTCAAGGGCTGTGATTGGTGAAAAACGTCAACTTTACTTCCGGTCGACGTCCGTGTTGTCAAAAACGTCACTTGCTTAAGCTCACTAATAAATGGTCACTGACCGCTATCAAATACTCCAGCGTAAATGTTTGGATATAATGTTGAATAGTTTTCAATTCTTTCAGTTTGAACCATTTTTAAAGAATAAGATAAAGGAGTAGAGTTTTACTTATATATGAGTGGCTAATATATATTTTTTTAATAACAAGAGTGAGAGAAGAATAGAATTAAATAACTGTTCATTTCATTTTCATGAATCATGATATTTAACATGATCTTCTAAAAGATAATGTCATCAATTTATATTTATTATTTTCTAACTTAAAAATATAAATTTAATATTTACAAAAAACTCACATTGGCTGCCATATTTTAAACAGCTTCTGTTCTTCTCAATTCATACAAATCCAAAAAGAATGGGAAAATGTACGTTGCCTCTTTTTATCCGCCATTCCGCCATAGTTGTTTTGATCGATCATGATTTGATTTCATCATCCAAAGTCCAAATCCAAACTTCCGGAGTTCCGAGACTAGCGTACGAGGATTTCCGACCGTCTATCATCGTTTGAAAGATGGTATTACACCCGTTTTCAAAATTACGCGACATCCTCGAAAAATACTCCCACTTCAAATGTCAGTTTTATGTCACAAGAACTGCTAAAAATAGCAAACGTAAACAAACTGTCTAAACTGAGACATTTTAAACCGTATTTAATACCAAAACTGAACAAAAATGAGTCAGATAACTTAGATATACAAACTAAAGCACAATACAAACCATCACAACAGAAATATGTCCCGTGAATGACTTTTAAAGTTTGAAAAATAACAATTTATCCTGGGATTTAGCTGTCAGTATAAAACACGCGCGCTAGACTATAACGGTGATGTTATGATATTGTTTTGCTTGAAGTTTACTATAATTCTCACTAAAATATCTTGAAAATCATTGTAAGTCTGTTTATATAAAACATACAAAGCATATACATCGACAAGGAACCGCAAAACTCAAAGTTTGAACTTCGTGATCGAATGACATAAAACTGACATGTCAACTCTAGCATTTTCGTCCTTGGTCGCGTAATTTTGAAAACGGGTGTAATGGACAAAAAGCCGAATAAATTGCGTTACAGTAAAAATTTAGACTTGGTTCAAGTTCAAGACTGTCTCGGGAGAAAAGTAGGGAGAGACGGACTTGGGACATTTGCAGCATTTCGAATGTTACATTGTTACTTGCAAAAATTGGCGCGAAAATTTGTTGTTGTTGTCAACTCGCAAGCCACGCCTCCGTAGGTATTTTTGGAGGGCTTGCAAATGTCCCAAGTTGGTCCCAAGTCCGTCTCTCCCTTAGGGGCCGCTGAACCAGGGGGTGGGTAATGGGGGCATGTGCCCCCCCCCACTTTTTTTAAAAGTGAAAAAAGTGTCCATTTTTCTGGGCTAAAGTGGCCCATTTAAAGAACGAAAAAAGTATTTCTTGAATGAACACCTTCTTTTGCTGGAAAGAAAGTGCCCTTTTGCAGTAGTAAAGACACTGTAAAAGGCCGGCCATTTTCGACGTAGTAGAGCAGGGGTCTTCACCCCTTTTTTTCGGCGACCCAAACCCAAGCTTCATAGGTGTCCCGCGACCCTGAACACTGCCAATAAAACTTTCGATAATTAAAAACATTATGGCTTTTCACCGAAAGCTTCCGAGTGTATGACGACGACTCTACTTTGGAAGACGACGTGCGCCGAAGGCGCGCCGAGTGGTGCTAAGCCATAATGTTTGAGTTACATGAAGTAAAAGGTATTATATCTAAAGCTTTACCAGTTTACCTGTTTACACGGCAAAAATCATCATGTTGTTGCAAGTTGTCAACAAGTTGCTGCAACTTGGTTCTGAACAGGATGCTGCAATATTGTGCGGCCCACTTGCAGCAATGTTGTTAACAATATTGTTCACGCTTGTTCGAACAATGTTGTTGACGGCTGATGAACGAACAAGGCCTGAACAACGTTGTTGGAACAACTGAGATCAACCTGATATCAATGATGTTTTATATTGTCAACAACTGCGAACAGTCTTGTTTTATCAATACGTAAACAACCTGATATCAATCGGTTTCGACGCTGTTATTCGTGGCCATTTTCCAGGGGGGAAAGAGAAATTTAAAGGCACAGTTCAGCCTTTTGAATGATGGTTTTTAAGGCGCATTACAACCGAATTGAAAAAACTAATTAGGAAAATCAATTAAGCACAATTCAAGATCAGTGATTTCAATGTTTTTAACATTTTTAAACATTTCTAATGTTTTTTAACATTGAGTTCACTGATTTTGAATTATGCTTAATTGATTTTCCTAGTTAGTTTTTCAATTAAAAGTCTTGTAATGCGCCATAAAAACCATCACTCAGAAGGCTGAACTGTGCCTTTAAATAAGCACACAAACAGACAAACTTCGCTTCTTGATATGCAATTCAGTTTATTTTGAAATAAGAAAATACAGATTAGTGAACAAATGCAAACTAAAGAGATAATTACAGTAAAAGTACAAAGGTAAGATGACTATAAACTATTTTATATGCAATTAAGGTTTATAAAATACTAAGTACTATTAATAAATCTAAATACTTCATAGTGTTAAGTGTTTTGACTTTTGAGTTCATATTAAATACTGGTAAACAATGGCAGTATTTTAGCAAAAGGTAGTGCAACACTGCAACCTCTATAATTATTATTTAGGTATTGTCAGGATGGAATTTGAATCTGTTGGAGCAAGTCTATCACAGAGATTTTATGAACCATGCATGCAATTTGTACATAATCATATATTTGCCCATTATATTTATAAACTGACAGTTAATAATTAATCTTTCACAGACTAATAAAATCATCTGGGGCCGGTAGTTCAAAGGCTTTCACGGGTTTCAAACAACCGGGCCCAGATGATTTTATTAGTATATGTGAAAGTGTAATAGTATTAACTGTCAGTTTATAAATATAATGGGCAAATTAGAGATACAGGAGTATATAAAATTATTACTAAAGTAGGCTCATTGCCAATTGATGGATTAAGTTAACATAATTAATAAACTATAGATGGTTTTGTTGCATCTCACTCGATGGAAATTTTAATGTTGGGTTTTGTTGATGGATAAATCGAGTACTTAATAATAGTGATGGGCGATACCAGGATTTTTAATTCGATACCGATACCGATACTTTTAAAATCGGTATCGGCCGATACCGATACCTATTTCGATACCAAAATGAACACATAATTTCAATTTTCGATACTGGAAGTGAGTACTTAAATTGCTAGTATTGGCTATTTTCGATACTTGCCGGTCAGTGGAAAAACATTTTACTTTACTGTATGTAACCTAAATAAAACTATAAGTAAACCAAAAGTCCGAAACGTAATAAATATACTCTATACTTGACTTGGCGCACCACATTCGGAATATTAACAGTTATTTTAGTTGTTCATTAAGTCTTATTCAAACAAGAAGTGAAATTAAACATGTCGTTTATAAAAGGGTGCAAGTATCGAACGATACCACGTCAGTAATCGATACCGATACCGCTGTTTGTGGTATCGCTGGTATCGAATACCGAGTACTCGGTATCGCCCATCACTACTTAATAATTTGAATTAAAATATGGACCTAACCAGGCCCTTATTGCCTGAATGGCATCTTATTCAAATAATCATTTAACTTGAAATAAAGGGATCTCCCTCAATTGATTTAGCCTGCAGAGGGCCAACCCCATTCCTGGATCACTTAACCTGAAATTCAGGCCCTACTTTCAAATTTCTGTCTGCATCCTTTTGAATGTTCAATATTTTTAACCTTTAACATTATAATGATAATGATTATTCAATTAAAGTCAGCAATTTCTTTTTCATCCTGAGAACATCCAGTTAATTCAGTCCTCCTGAACTTGGTTGACACTCCTTAGCAGTGATATTTCTGTAGATTTGCCATTATTTTATTCCAGATATGAACTCACAGGCCCTATAAATTATGATTAAATACATATAGTGCCATTAATTTACAAAATGGACCTTTGCAATGTTTATGCATGCACTAGTCAATTGAAACCCCTAACCCCGGGACAGGGCGGGGAATTAACAGGGGAATGGCCATGGATTAACACGGTCTTAATGCAGATTTCCCCCAGGGTACAGGGTAATAAATAACAAATCAATTTATTAGCCAGGACAATTAATTCCCAAGTCATGAAAATTTCCCAAGTCATGAAAATTTGCAAAGTGTTGGGGCCATAGGGACAGTAATTTTAACAGTCAATATTCTCCCGGTAGCAGCTAGGAATTTAAATGTCCAAAATTTAACATTGTCAAAATGTTAATTTCCCCTCCCTATCCCGGGGGTCGGGGTTTCAATTGACTAGTGCATTATGGTGGGATGCAGCCCCAATTGTATGTTTCCCACCATATTTTACATGGCTCATGCCATATAACTTCAGTACATGGTCATTTTTGGATCCATGCCTGGGACATATCATAATCTTGAATCTAATTTGGGTATTCAATCATGTTTAATAGACATAGGCAGTCCACATATGGACTGGTCATGCTATATGTCTAAGTGCATGGCTATTGCCAAAATAGCCTCCATCTACACAGACCACAACAAAGGTATAAAAATTACTTACCAAGTGATCACCCATTTATATAATTTGACATATTCATAAATCTTTATTTTTATACTTAAGTTTACACTACAAAAAGGATAAAAATGAGACAATAATTACATTTGAGCATAATAATGGTCATAATTATCCCCCATAGCCATGTGATAAAATCATAGCTACCTCCTTCATACCTTCCATGACAATTATAGTCACCTGCTTAACCAGGAAATAAAACTATGAGGAAATATGAGAAATGGCTAATTATTTAACTGTATGCACTCTTACCTACCTACCTATAATCTATCCATCACATATTATATGCAGTAAATACATCATTCTTGGTGTGTAAACTGATCAAATATTTGGTTGACCTTGTTAAAACACAATAGGAATTGTTTATATATAGCAGTGATCAAAATTACAAACAACAATAGGGACGGAAGGGGCGAAGGACATTTGGAAAAATTTCAACAATATTTTGAGAATTAAATGTTTTGTTTATATTACGGCTTTTTATTACAGTATGACCGTGGTTTCTTGTTTATATATACTGAAAATATCGAGAAAAATATCAAAATGCAATACCTATATAAAAGTACTATAAACTTTGTGCGTGTGCATTTCTTCGTGTACTATGAAAATGACTAAAATTAAAAGGTCGCGTTGTTTTAAGCTTTTACAACTAACCTTACCTCAAAACAAGACACTTACCAAGTTATTTTCTTCAGTATTTTCCCCTCAAATGCTCAATCTTCAGAAAAAACCACAAAGTTTAAACGACATTTATTTTGCTGTAAAATCCCGTTTGATTTCTTGCTCTCGTGATATTCGTGGCATTCGTCCGTTTTGCATCCCAGCGGTTCGCAACAACCAATAAAAACACGTTTTCGTGTTGTTCAAATCATTATTTTACCGTCTATTTATAACAATGCTGTTCACGGTTGTTCGAACAACTAAAAACAACTTGTTCTTTCATCAATGTTGTTCACGCCTGTTCGAACAATATTGTTGACGCCTGATGAATGAACAACGCTGAACAAACATTGTTCTGACAACATCTATCAAGCATGTTTCATCAACCTTGTTGACGCTTGTTCCATCATGTTGCAACAACCATTGTTCGTTCATCAAGCGTGAACAAGTTGTTGGAACAATGTTGTTAACGATTGTCGCTTGAACAACGTTGTTCAGCCATGATAACCTCATTGTTGCAACGTTGTTCAGCGAACAATGTTGCAGCAACCTGATCAATTTTTACGCGTGTAAACAAGAAATCCAAGTCAGCGTCTTCCGTGGAGCACTAAGTTGAATCAACATGAACGAATTGCGTTTTATTCAAAAGTACAAATAGAGACAATCAGGAGCAAAAATTATTGAGACAACCGCATAAGTGCC